CAACCCGTGGTGAACACCCACCGCGAAGGCGGGAGGCAGCGGGGGCAGCACCTTCCGGAAGGTTCCGGGAGGCGCCTGCACCCAGCATGGCCGCTCTGCCCTGGCGGCCCCGGCCGCCTTGGCACCGAGGAGCACTGCAGAGACAGACCTTGCCCTCTGGTATCCCAGAGAAGGAATAATTTATTCCAGCAAACATCTCTCCCGGGCCTGACTGTGGGGAGAGATTGTCGTCGTATCCGCCCCGGATGAGAAACAGCTGTTTCCGTCTTATTTTGTTTGCGTTTTGCACTTCTTGAATGTGGGTGTTTTTTAAAAAGAAAAAAGAATTGCCTGGCCCTCCTTTGAAAGTAAACAGCAATCCATCTACAACTTTAAGGTTAAGAATTTCAGGCTATATCGTGTCCCTGGGATTTGCTGCTTTTATGTTCATACATATGGCGACGACATTACTACGGCAGCTCCTATCAAGTAGTTAGATATCATTACACATCTGCTGTTCAATAGTCTTTAAAAAAAGAACAAAAAACAAACAAAAAAAAAACTTGTCTCTTTCACAGCTTTGCACATCTGACATGTTCCGAAGTGATTGAAACTGCACCTTAACAGAGGAGAGATCGGAGGCGTTACAGCCACACGGTAAGCCTAGAACTGTCAGTTCCCAGTTTTTAGTTTTGACTCATTCAATATAAGATGAAAGCTGTATTTTTTTTTTTCTGGCTGTCTCTATAACATCATAAGGAACAACATATACCTGCAGACAGTGACAGCACAGGGCATCATCCTTGACAGTTCAACAGATTGTTTACTCCTCTCACACTGGGAAAAACTTCTGTTTAAGTGAACTTGCCAAAACAACTGTATTTATAACCTGAAAAAAAAAGGTCTGTTCAAGTTTTTCACATTTTTAGGTTTTCAATAATCTTGACCCCTAGCTGGAATAAACTGGCATGAACCCACTGCTGATTTAAATCCTAGAAGTTTCTGGACTATTTCCTTTGAAAGCAACCTAACAGTGGTTTACCTCGAGTTCATAAGTCATGCAATTCCATGCTGACATTCACACTCTGCCTATATGACCTTTTGAAGAATTTAAATTTCCAGAAAACAATTTCCTAATGCAAAAACATGTTGACTTCTGATCCTGTGTATCCCAATTAATCTGTAGATAGCCAGAAAAAGTAATAGCTGTCAAGGAAATCTCAGATATCCTTCAGTATTTTCTATGGCAAACTTTTACAGTTATTCCTTATTTTATGCAATATTTTCCCATCTATCACTGTATTTGAAAATGCTTGAGACAGCTGGTTTCCTGAATATTTGACAGAAGCTAAAAATCAAAGCATAGATCTAAGGAAGCTCAAGTAACACTCTCACTCACATGTGCTCCTTACATTGCCTCTCCAAAACTGAGATCTCTGTAAAAATGTGGGTGTGCCAGCTGTAGCATACCTTATGGGATTAACTCCACAGATGACAATTACTGCCACTTTAAGGGAACACAAAATAACAGAAGAAAAGGATTTTCATTGCCTTATAATTTGCACAAAACCTTGCCTTTATTCAAGCAGAGTTTTCCACTGTGTTTTCTAACTTCGGGTTGATATGTCTTTGTGGGTTTTCAGGTATAAGTTTACAGGCAATATAAACAAACCAAAGCATTTAATTTTCACCATGCTGCCCCAATTCATTTTTCAGTCTTTATAAAGACCATTAACATCTTGTCTGTAATTCAAATCCAAAACCCAGGTACTAACTTTGATGTGGATCTCTCACCAGTCCTCACATCTTTGAGATATTTTAGTCTCACCACATCTTCCTACAGAAAGTCTCTAAAATGAAACCTTTCTGTTGTGTCCAGACAGATGAAATTAGCACCTTGACCTTCTGTCTTCTATATTTCTATCTTTTCCAGTCAACCTTGACCTATTCCATTTTACACCTGGGATAGTCACCCAAAACCCTACACAAAAAGTCCATTTTCTTGACTGAGTGCATGTACCATGTCAGCTCTGTTTTCTTCAATGGCTTTCTCTTCTCTCTGAATTAAATATGAATTGATCTTCTTCTGTAACTGTTTCCCGTACATGCTACTGAGAAGCCACCCTCTTCTTCCCCCACCAGTTCTCCATCTGTTGCATTTTCAAAAACCTTTCTGTAGTCTTCTCTGAGACCACCTTTTATGGTTGGAACACTTGGAAGTTTCTTAAGAGCACCTCACTATCTTGCTCTCCTCCTCCAAATTTTACCAGAACAGTCCTAAACTATGAAGCTTATGAACCTTTGTTCAAAGCAGGCAGCAGATATACTGTGAACACTATTTACCATGCTGAACAGCCCTTTATCATTATCATACAGCCCTATTTGTTTCTTGTAGCTATCACTAATGCTATCACAAATTTTTGCTTCCTGCAGAGTTCTAATACTGTGTGTTCAATCTTGTGATATACCATGCAGGACACCTAGACATAAGACAAATATGCTAGAACAAAAATCAACAAGCCAAAAATAGTTTTCTGCTTCAACTATCTACTGCACATAGTAGATTCCCATAAGAATTTTAATTTTGAAACATTTATCATTTTAAAATCTCAGTGTTACATCAGCCCAATTTTCTGAACTTTTCTCTTTTTTCCATTTATGTCCTTCAAAACAACAAGTCATTTTCAACTGAAAACCTGTAGAGAAGCGTATGAATTTCCAAATTTTAGGACGGCTCAAGAAGGACAACATGACACCAGCATTTCTGACTACTCTCAATAAACTACTTAAGTCAGTTATCATAACGTTATCTTTAAGAAATACTATAGTACACTTTCATGAGACCTTGGAATAGGATGCTCCAAGAAGTTTAAATGACAAATGGATTGAGGCCCTATACTTTTCCTCATCACTAATTAGTGTCCACCTTCCCCATTATTCATAGACCTGGACTATCTGCAGCTTTCATTCTGTGCATAAAAGCCAGTTTCATTTTTATATCATCCGTTTCATAGTTACTGTCAGTCTTAAAAATACTTCCTCAGAAAATTCCCACCTCATTTTGAAAGAGGGACACATTTTCCTTTTTCTCCTACCACAACTTCTTGCAACACTTTAAAGAATATTTTTACTTTTGACAGCCCTAAACTCTCTTTTTACTTAACGTTGCTCTTACTAAGTTTTTTCCTCTTTCCTTATTAATTCAATGCCACCAGTAGCTGTATGCTGGCCAACACCTCACCTTTTACCACTTCTTCAGCATCACATGGACTGTTTTTCAGAAAAGCGTAAAATGTCAGAGAATTACAATTTCTCATGCATATTGGAACTATTTAAATATGCTCCAGAGTTTGCTGTATGCAATGTTGATGTGTCTGCATCCAAAGCTGTACTCTCCCATTAATTAATGCCTAATGAGATTCAACTTGCCATTTAGCACCATAATCATCATTGCTCAAATTATCCTTGCAGTTGGTAGTTAAAACTGAAAAATGACCACAAGTAAAAATTTTCATGATCAGATAATTAATATTTTAGTGGTTCCCTTTTGAAAATGCCCTGTGACTGCCGTCCTCAGACTTCCTCTAGAGGTTTATATGACCTCACTTAGGGGAACATGCAATTAGGCAGGATTTAGAAGGTCCCACTGGCCACTTCAAGCTCTATGTTAGTTTCAGAATGAAAACCAAAGCCATTTAGACTGTATTGATTAGTTTTGTGACTGAGATGTCCTAATATTAACAGAGGTGTTAGAAATCCAAAGAAGCTTTAAACAACCAAGGAACAATGTAAAGCCAGAAATGAAAATATTTTAAGAGAAATAAAGAGGATTTCAAATCCATTTTACACAGCTGCATCTGCTGTGACACAAAATATTTACCATAAGCTAAATAGAATTGTCACAGTGTCTTAAGTCACTGCCACAGAAAGCTGAACATTAACATCCCAAAATAAGAACATTACTTGATTGATTGATTCACTGAGTGAAAGGTTGAGCAAAATCAGATCAGACTTGAAGCCAACAGGCAGCATTCAGATCTATGGAGGGAGCTGGAAAAGTGAGAAAAGTGGGTGGTGGCGGCGAGTAATAGACTTTATACAGGATAAAGGATAGGAAACAACCGAGAATATGCCATTTTTGAACAGCTACCAGGATTTGATGGTGTACCAAGCAGAACGCATGTATTTTTTAATCTTTCTTTTTGCAGGAGAAGCTGCATACTTTCATGAGGGCTTGAAGGGAGATGTGGTTATTCTGCAATGCTTTTCTGTCTGGTTGAGAAGACTGGTGTTTTATCTCAACATGATGATCTTGAGTTTGTTTGCTTTTTCTGCTACTATTAACATAAGGTAAATATACTGTTCATTTAAAAATATACTGTTCAAAAATGATGTATTAATGGATGTGGTAGAAACACAGGGACACAAAGCCCTTCATCTCTCTGCTAAGCTCCTATTGAAAACATCTCCTTCAAACCTACCTGCCGACTGCAACAAGCTAAATCTCATATTAAAAAGCCTCTAAGATACGGTATTTTTCTTCCAGCTAAAACCTTCCTCACTGAATCTTTGTAAGATTTTTATTTATATGGAGTAAAAGAGCAATTGGTATGGGATTATTACATGGGGAAAAAAAAGTTTGGTCACTTAAAGAGGTCCTTTACTTTAGTGGGTCAGTTTCAGCATTAAACTGACCATAACACTGACCATTTTTATTTTGTACATGTGAACACAGCAACTATGCGGGGTGAAACAGAGAAGAGGCTGAAGGAAAGACACAGAAGCAGGAGACAAATTCTGCTTGTCTAACGCTTGCAAACAGTTCTGCAGAAGTCAATAGAACTGTCTTCGTGAGTCAGGTAAGCAGGATATGACCCTTGCTTTTTCCCCTTTATTAAGCCTTGATATTTAGAGAGAAATCATTGCACTGTATGTGTGCCACACAGCTAGACCCTGGAATAAAAGATATTGACCTTTAAGAGCTAGTGCCTAATTAAAGTTATCCATTTGAAATCACACCAATAGTTCTGACGCTTTTGGCCATTCATGGATACTAACTGTTATCTGAAAAAGCACCAAAACACAGGCTGGAATTAAATGTTCTTTAAAGTTGTGTAGTTTTCAAAGTAGTAAGAATTTGTGCACAATACTACCTGTTTTCTTTCAAGTTCTCTGAAAATACTTTCAAGACTCTGGAAGCCCTTTTTAATCATCTATCTACACTAAAACTAAGTGAATAAATCATTATGCTAGGAAAATTTTGACATTAAATATGACCTTCTTCCCCCAAATTTAACTCCACGTTAAAACTCAAAGGTTCCAGGATAGGATATCTTATCTCTGAGAAACTATTAACATATGGTCTAGGAAACTGAGAAGTAGGCTATGTCATGACAACTTTCCTGAAACACTAATTTTGATGTCACATATTCACTGTACAAAATAAGATATCCTGGAAGCAAATCAAGCATAAGCTGCAGTATGGTCACCTCACCATAATAAGTACATGTCCCCTCCAATATTATCATGATCCACATCATCACAGGACCTTCAGTTTCCTAATTGCTCAGCTGAGCTTTAACCCCATGACTTTTCTGACTCCTTGATTTTTATCAAGGAGTCAGGAAGAGGATATGGGGATTTTATCCGGAAGAGGATATGGGGAAGAACATCAAGAAGAATTTTCTTTTCCAAATAGTTATAATCTTCATTAAACTTACACAGACTTGATATATTTGAGTCTTGCCAAAAGTCACATGAGGAGGGAAGGCAGAAGCTCAGCAGTGGTAGAGAGAGTTTGATCATACAAGGCTTCAGAATTCAGAATGTATCTTAAAGTCAAAACTAAATTTATAAAATGAAAGAAAGATCATGTCTTCTACAGAGAAGATTGGCATGATTTAGTCTGGAAAGCAACAAAGAATATCAGAAGGCTGATTTGTAAAAAGTGTGTCTCCCTTTCCAAACTAAATAGTGACGACACAGTAGGTGTCCCAAGGATACTAGACCCATCCAAAGTAAGTTGTTCGCACCCCCAACGTGACCAGTAGTTGGAAAGCACTCATATGGCCCATTTTCACGGACAATTTAATTGATTTTTTTGTATTTACATAGTAATAGAAAGGATATTCATTTGTCACAAAAGGAAGAACTAAGAAACTACATTCAATGACAGAGTGAAATAATTACCTAATTAAGTCATAACTGCAGGAAATTAGCCAAATTCATGAAATATGCATGGGTAATGGATCGGTATATTTTCCAGGCTTCTGCTCTGCTGTTTTTCATTTGCAATATGCATGCTAAAGAGTTGGGGAGTAGAAGAGGGAGCAGGAGTGGAAGAAGAAGGGAAGGTCTATCTGCTGCATCTGCTTTGCAACTTGAAGTAAAAGATCAGAATAGATTTCAAAAACAGTTAATGTCATATGAGAGATAATGTCATTAAATACTCCTGATAGTCAAATTTTTTTTTCACATATACATATAGTTTTGTTCATATGTATATTATAAACATGCAAGATATCAAATTCAGCTGATTTAAAACATTTGTGATTTAAAACTGAGGTACATCAGTGTCATACTTGATTCATTCACTTACTTCTACACACTTTTAAGAATCCTGATTACATTTACTCCATGCCTCTGTTTGAAATGCTGAAACAGAAGACTACGCAGTGGGGGAAAAATGGTTCCAGACATTCTGTTTCTATATTCTGGGGTCCTGTTAATCTGTAATATAACCCTCATGGTTGCTCTAAACTTTTCTGATTTTCATGGCTCTCTGTGGAGTCTAGGAAGCATGTAATTCAGTTTCACTGTCCCTATTCACTGAAGTAATAGCCAAATAAATGCCTGATTACCAACTTTAAACCTGTTGGAGAAGCTTTAAAGCATTATTCTTCTCATTAAAACTCCTTTGCATTGCCAAGAAATGCAGAAGAAAGGAAAACCAAAAATTTGCTGGAAAAGAAGGGTTATGGTTGTCCCACACTGAAGTTCTCGTAACAAACCAAGGTGAAAGGAGAATCACCACAGAAATTTCTGGATGGGAAAAGACTAGGAGTATGCTGCCGGCAAAGAGGGCACTTCATATCTAAGAAGCCTATTTTGCATTTAATACAATACCATCAACCTCAATAAACCGCCACATTTTATGAAAATGAAAAGCATTAACACTGGAATTCAAACAACTGTCCTGGATATTATGACACTTCTGGTGAAGAGTCAAGATTCTGTAGTTCTTTTTCATACCTAATGCATCAGCAATGCACAGAGTGATTTTTTTCACATATTTACCCTAGGAAATACTAGCACTACATCAGATACAGAATTTATTTTGTATTAACCAAGATATTTACTTTCAGTACCAAAAGGAAGTACGCTTAGAGTCTTACCTCTACAGTACCTCTTCTTGTCATATCTTCCATTTCTGGAAATTATCAAAGCAGCTGAACTTAAAACTATTATACTGAACTTCTATACATGAAATACTCTGTCATCTCAAAACGTGATTCAGTTTACTCAGATGCTAGTTTACAAAGGGGATTCAGTAAACTGACAAGCTGGAAGTGACCTTTGTTGCAGCCCTCAGCATAAAAATCTCTGAGGCACTTCAGAACGGGGAATCATTACAGAAACATGTCCTGCATTGATTTCAGTCCATGCATCCACCAAGTAAATGTAGAGATAGTAAAAAACTGTGCAAACTTAGGGCTTTGGTGATAGATCCTTCACATAAGACTGTTAATACTACAAGGACCACCAAAGTGCAGCACAGCAGCAGGCTTCAAAGGAGGTCTCTAGCTTCTTTTTCCACTTCCTTCACTTAAAGCATTTTAAATCTAGTTCTTCCATGCCACAGTCCTTGGGTTGCAATTCAAGAAAAGGGTATAAGGACCATGTAGAAGGCCTCTGTTTTAAGCACGCTACTGGGTTCCACTTTCTTGGGTTTGTCCTACACGTGTACAGGCACTGAAGTTGTTATTAAAGCTTTTCTGTTATTTGAGTTTATGCATAAAGCCACCATAAAACCATGTTTTTAGCTCTTGGAAGTGTTTTCCCCCTTCTTTGTTAATTATCAAGTACCTGGCTGATTGCTCATGATTTATGACTGATGGGGAGAAGGTTCAGCAGGTGTTAATGGTTTGGTTAATGTGAGTGGCATAGAACAAGAAAGTAGCCCAAACTGTTTTCTGCTGTTCCCTCTAAAAGGTTTTTTCTGTGGGAGAGAGAGAGAGAGAGAGAAAGAGAGAGTGTGAGTGTGAGTGCTTGTCAGAGAGAGAGAATTTGTATAATAAGCTGAAAATGGACATTTTTGTAGGGTGTTATTACTAAGAAAAATACTAAAACAATATGATTATTTTTGATCTTTGCTTATGGAAATTGTTGTTTATTTAAACTTTCAAATGATACAGAAGGCATAGTCAAGCAAGAAAGATCTTCAAGTGGAATAATCAAACAAAATACTACAGATTGAACTCAGTATCAGGAAAAAAAATTTTGCAATGTGATATAAAATCTATCCCAATCACTTCATATAATTATGAAGAACAGAAATTCATTTGCATGAAAGACATATCTAATTTTAAAAGTTGGTAATCAAACAGGAAGTCATCTTAACAGCACAATGACTTCTTCTGAGACATAGGGGATACGGCTAAGTTATTTAAATACAGATAACACATTCAAAAGTAATTTCTAATTAACCCAAACATAGGCCTGTTTTCTGGTGTCTTCTGTTTTGCCTGGACACCATGCCTTTTTTTTTTAATAATATATTCATATTGGTTACTCCCTGTCCTATGTTTAGTTAACTTTTCTTAGAAGCAGATCCTGAAAGGAGGTTGGTCTTTCTGCTTATGTGACACTTCAGTGAAAGACAATCAGGATATCTAAAAAATCCACTGATAATATTGGGTTTTATGTAATCTCGTATAATTCGTTAAATGCTTGGGATGTACACCTACCAGTGACATCAAGGAAACTGATTCCTACTTCTGATTCACAATTAGGTCTGATACCTCTTACAGTATAGATGTGCTATTCATTCAACTGTCTGATGTGAAGTGGGTAAAATGGGACCTTTAAAAGTGATATTTCAAAACAACAACAACAAAGCATTTAACAAAAACTGGAAATTTGAGACAGATGGATAAAAGATTTTCGGTAAGATATTTAAACTGTGCCCTATACAAATTTCAGGATAAAGGAATCTTAATATGACTTTTTTTTTTTAAAGACAGAAACATTCTGAAGTACAAAAAAAATGAATTTCCTTCCTCTCCAACCCAGCTAAATCAATATCCCCTTATTCTTCCAAGTATGAACAAACATCTGATCTAAAGCTTAGTGAAGTATCTGGAAATATCCTTGTTGCTTTCAGTACAACTGGCTACAACTTCAATTCTTGCCATATTAACAAAACTCAACCAGGAATTCAACAGAAATATGGACACTACCAGAAAGACAAAGTGAATTTATTGCCAAGACTGTGAACATGCCTAGCTGGGGTCAAGACCTCTGAAATGCACTAATGTGCAGTAGGCACACTGCTGCTAGTGCTGCATCCCAAACAGCTCAGGTCACACATTCCTGGATTACAGTTTTCTCTGAAGAGAAATTTTACAGTCTGCTCCTAAAGTAGCAGTCAGAAGTGATGATTTTCTGACAGTGAAATGTGACTGTCACAAATAGTGCATTCTGAAGGCTGTACTTCTAGTAATGATGTACCACGTCAAGGATGGCAGGTTCATAAGAGGAAAACATGAGAAGCTGCCATAAGTAAATATTATGATACACACATTTCCCATGTTCAGGTTTTGTAATGGTCAA